TTATTTGTATAATTGTATATATCTATGACAATTATATATATGGCTCTTTTGAACAATGATTTAAGACCAGTATTACGTAAAGACGTTAATACGCACACACACACATATATATATATATATATGTATGTGTGTGTATGTCAACGTACATAAGTGATACTTGTCATAGATCAGAGTGTTCAAAAAGCCTAATATCATGCTCCGATCTTCAGAGCTTAATGACTCCATTGGCGAAATGGTAGTTTCCCCGACAATGTTATTTTGGGAGATTTATCGAAACCCAGTTGCGCCTAGCATCGGCGAGCTTTGGTACTGTCGGTCTTGTGCGTCGAGAATAGAGGGTAGAGCCGAGGAGGTGCCCAGCAACTGTTTGAGCACTCAATGAGGAGACAATGTAGAGTTGGCTTTTGACGGTCAACACGTTGAGTGGAGGCCTTTTGGGAATTGTTGACAGCAATTGCCCTTTCAAAGTGGTGCCATCCGATTGCGTCAAACTTTCAACTTTATGAGATCTTCCGAGTTGAACTGTTCCTCCTGCCTTCAAGATCCGGTCTGTCCAAAAGTCGTCTCAACGAACCCTTCCAGCCGGAAGGCTTCAGACACGCAGAAGAACTGGCGACTTGTCTTTCGACAGAGCCAGACGGTTCATCAAACTAAGGTTCAGATCAGTGAACAAAGAATCTACTTTCATCTGGATCATCTTTATTCCTACCACAACCACCTGCATCGGCACACCTTGTCCGTTGGCTCTGGTCCACACAACCCCAGTTTGGCAGGACTATGTGAAGGGTACATGGTCATACCGTAAGGTCACAATTATACCATCCAGAGGGTCAAACTTGGCCCGAGGCCACTGGACACGATGATGCGAACTTTCCTATCATCTGAAGAACTCATAAGTAGAGGTGGTGTGAAATTTTCCTACTTTTGCTAATTGCAACTGGTGGACTCGTTATGCACACAAAAAACTTCACATACGCAAGCAACTTATACAAAATATATTAAATGTATATAAAAATAGAATATAAATATATAAATTAATAAATAAAAGCCTATTCTTCTCTTACCTCTGTCAAGTGGCATGAAGAAAAAGCTCGGCCCGTTATCGCTCGACCCCAAAGAAGATGTCGCATCGACTGTTTCGACCTGAATAACGAAGCAACCCCAAAATGGCAGCAGAACAATGGCACTCAGGCGTCGTTTTCTGGTGGGATCCACCCACGAATCTCTTTAATAGGTAGTCTTCACAACGATGTTAGATAAATAGACTTTTCGAGACCCATACTCGATAGGTCGCGGATGCTTTCATCCTCAAAAATTATATTTCTAGTAAATAGTGTATTTTGTTTTTAGGGAAAATTTAAACCAATTATAATCTTATGCTAATGTCATGAAATCATCTCACCTTACACCCGAATAGATTACACAAAAGCTGAGGTTTTTGGACTTTCTTGGTTTAGGGTTTTGAGGTTGAACTGAATTGGTTTGTTTGGTACGCTTTTATGCAGACCAACAAAATTGCACGTAAGGTAGTAAGTAGTATTACACACCAATTTACGTGTATCCAATTATTCGGTTGTTTTTCTTACAAATTATATTTCTAGTAAATAGTGTGTTTTGTTTTTAGGGCAATTTAAACCAATTATGATCTTACGCTAATATCATCTCACCACAAACCCAAATAGATTTCACAAAATCCGAGGTTTTTGGACTATCTTTATTTAGGGTTTTGAGGTTGAACTGAATTGTTTTGTTTGGTACGCTTTTATGCAGACCAACACTTGATGGCGAAATTCTGATGCGCCTTATTTATTGGATATTAGCACAACATTTAGGTTGATACAATCCACGAGAAGTCTCCTTCGGTTTGTGCCCATAAGAATTTGGTCTCGCACCTAATCACAACAGAAATACAATTCAACTATTCTCTCACTTGCCAGCCATCACCAGATCTGGATGTTGTTATTGCGTTTTATTATTACAATAATTAATAATTACTTACAAATACACACACACAAAACACAAATATATAATGAATTGGTTAGTGCAATTTTAGGTCTATTTAAGTACGAAACCATCCGTCATACCTCGGACCTGCTTTCTGTTTTAACAGCTCAGACTAACCAACAACGGTTTCGCTCCTTGATCTGGACACACATACACAAGCACACACATTCAAGCAGATCAACAATCGGTTCTAGTTAAGAGGAGGAAATAGCCAAATTATTCTTTATCTGGCTGCACCCATTATTCTATTTTCACACATATTTTGCAATAGTTGCAAGTAATAGCCGATCGGTCTGGAAGACTTTGTGATAATGAACTTCAACTCCGGTGACGTCTGCCAAGTGAGACGGATTCACACCTCCTGCTCTGACGATGTACGTCATGTGACGGACGAAGAGTCATCGGAGTCGCAGGACCGTGAACCGAGGACGCTGAGCTCAACTCAACAATCCCACTTTCACGGCAATCGCCTTCAGCTTCTGGTGAGACCAATTCGTCCCTTCAAACGAAATGACGTACTCCAATTGCAAAAGCTCATCCTGTTTTCAGTGAAATTATACCAGCTTCCTCGTAGACTGGTATGCAATGATAAATATCGGTCATCTCTTGTTCGTTTAATCTATCCAATTATAAACTTGTGTGTGTATGTGTGTGTGCCTGTGTGTGTGTAGATTTTCATGTGGATTTCACTCGAGCTCAACAGGTATGAATCAAGCTATTCCTCAAAGCCAAAAATGGATATTCACCTTTAAATGACTAACAGTTGTTAATTATAAACTAAGAAAAAGAGAAATTAGAGTCTAACAAATAATAAATGCATATCCTGAATGGTCAAACAATTCAGTAGTTAATCAACTGAATAATATTTTCCCAACCACAACGGATTAATTATTAACTGCCAAGGGAACAATGTGTCCGACCGACTTATTAATATTAGACTAAAAATCAAATTAATTAATTAATCGGTCAAGTTTATGGTTGAGTCAGAGCGTTAAAAATAATCAACTCAATGACCAATCACATAATTAACTGCCTTTAACCAAACAAATGACAAGTTAAACTTCTAAATGGCCGGCCAAATGAGCGATTAATTTATTGAATAATCCATTCCCCACTGGAACTAACGAGTCGACAATGTCTTTGCATCTGTCGCTCCACTTTGGTACTTTCCTATCCGTCTAGCTATCTATTTGACCACCCGGCTGGCTGGCTGGGTGGCTGGGTGGCACGACTGTTTGCCTCATTTGGGCCAAGTTCTTGAGGGTTGAGAGAAACCCGTGTTCAACGTGTCTGAAGGTGTCCTCCGACGGCCGTTTCACAAACATTTTCTGCTCCCGCTTGTCCGATTTGCAACTCGTCCGCCTGCCTAGATTTGACGAGGTATCATATTTCCGATTGGACAAGCGCCATGTTGGTATGTTTGCAGACAAGCCGGTCTCAGTCTGCTCCACTCAAATTCATTCGTCTCTCTCACTCCTCCTCCACCAGCCCCTTTTATTGCTTCTTCTTCTCTCTCTCTCTCTCTCTCTCTCTTTTTCGCCCTCTCTTCGCCTCTTTCTTTCTTGCTCCCTTTCTCTTCCTGTCCTGCTTTCTCTCTTCAGTCATTAAACTCTGTTCACTTCTCACCGTTTGGACAGCAAGCTTCGTAAACTATTGAAGGGTATGAAACTACTCCCTTCTCCTTTTTCTTTTTCTTCTTCCTCTTTTTAATCGTTTTTTTCTCATCCTACTCCTTTTCATCATCATCATCATCATCATCATCATCATCGTCATCAGTATTTCGAATCAACTATCTCCTCTTGCTTCAAGTGTGCATCGGAAGTTTTGGCTCCTCTTTTTGATTGATTGCATTATCCAGTCTTGGGCAGCCTTGGACGACAATGGAAGCCTACAACTGCATTTCCACCATCTCTTAACGTAAGAAAGAGGAAGGTCAAACCAAGCAATTGAAGGTAGCCGGAGAGATCATGAACATTCGTGTTCTGGGGTTGCTGACTAATGGATGGATTCGCTTTTGTTCAGAACAGGGATGATGATAATGATGATAATGATGCACTCTGGTATCATGACATTATGAGAGCCAAGATATGCACGCAGCTGAGGATTAGAAGAAGCACCCTCTTCAAGAAAAAA